TATTTCAATTGTCACGGGGGTCTAACGATACCCCATATTTGAGTGAAGTATATACGTTACTGAGGATTAGGTAGTGCGCATGCGTGGGAAAAATCCCACGTCCTGGCATCACTGGCTCCGAGCGGCCACAAATTGTCGACTGACGATGAACCGAAACACGACAAATGCCCACGCGGAGAAAACTCATGGTGCTCATGGCAGAAGGCACAGGCTACTGGATCAGACCATATGCATAAACCACCTGTATCTCAAGAAGTTTACGAAGCGATTTCTCCAATTTATGACGTATTAAGCCATGACGAACTGCTTTCTCGTTGCATCGGCGGCTTTACGCAAAATAGCAACGAGAGCTTCAACGCCACAGTCTGGTCAATGGCTCCGAAATCGACTTCCAGCGGCAAACACGTTCTTGACACGGCAGTTTATATTAGTGCAGGCATATATAATGACGGCCTATCAACTATCATGAGGCTCATGCAGAATTTAGATATGATAATTGGGCCGAACTGTTATAACTTCTGCGTGGAAACCGACAAGCGCCGCATCGACTTTTCCGAGAGATCGCTTAGCGATGCCGCAAAAAAGGCCCGAACATCCTTAAAAGCATCTAGGAAGGTAGAGGAGGAGGCGAACATCGACCTGGATGGCCAAATGTATGGTGCAGGCATCGCAGATTAGAGGTAAACAAAAATTTCAAGGATTAAAGTGTTCATAAAGCATTAAACGCGTTTTTCTCGAAACCACTTTTTTCAAACTGGGAGGACGGATTTCTCGGTGACTATTGCATGGATCGATTTGAAATTTTTACAGTAGCTTCACAACAATATTCTCTTTGGAAGTACGTAGCCGTTTTTTGATTGAATGTAAACTTTTTTTTTATAAACAATTCAATGCTCATTTTTAGGGCAAAAAATCGATTCATTTCTTAAAAAGTGCACTACTTCCACAAAAATTGATTTAAAAAAAACCCTATGTACTTCCAAAGCCAATTGTATATAGATTATAAATTTTTTTGGTTTTTTTATTCCAGGACTCATACATGGCGAGAAATCCGTCCTCCCGTGGCAGTGTTTTTAAAAAAGCTGTTTTCGACGACGGGGTCTGTCGCCGTCATTTTGTATGAAAATGAAAATAAAAAAAATTGTTTTTCGTACTTCGATATGTGTTAAATAAACCCTCTGAAAAGAAATTCTATTCCGTTTGTCATACTCCCAAAATAAATTGTCAAATGTAGGTCTTTTTTTCTGCCTCTGAGTGGTTTTACCCCTTAATGAACTGAAGCCTTTGATTGCTGAATACGGACCTGAGAATATATACAATTCAGACCAGAGTGGATTTCAATTAGAAATACATTCTGGACGAACCTTAGCAGTGGTAGGCCAAAAAAAAGTAGAATGTGTTGTACAATCTGTATCTTCAACGACACATAGTTATACAGTACAACCAACAATAACTGCTGATGGAAGATTGTTATCGCCTGTGTTTATGGTCTTGCAAGAAGCAACTGGACAATTTGGACCAATAGTTGAAAAAACATTATTTAAGCCGACGAACGTATACGTGACTGCATGAAAATCTGGGAAACTCACTTCTGGTAATGTATACTTCGAAATTATATTAATTAAAGAATCTTTTATTAATAATTAAAATTGACCTATGCGTATATGTGTAGTTACTACGGATTTTATTTTAACATTGCAGCTCATTTCAAAACCTGGTTGGAAGAGATCTTTTTTCCTAAAACCAAAACAACAAGTGTGTTGTTGCTAGATTCTTGGAGTGGACACTGTGAACAAGATGTACATAATGCAAAACCAGTAGGCAAAGAAATTATAATTAACAGGATACCAACAGGTACCACTGGACGAATCCAGCCTCTAGATGTTTATGGATTTAGGATGTGGAAGAATTACGTCAGGCGATTTTCCGACGATGTCCTGTTGCACGACTATAACGTTAAACTTCATTTAAGAAACAATATAATTAAATTACAATCGCTTGTACATAATCAATTGTCCACACCAAGATATAAAAACCTATTCCAGTATTCTTGGTATAAAAGTGGATACGTAGAAACCAAGTTAGGAGATTTTGTGAATCCTGTAGAATTTGCTTTCGAAGAGAATATAGAAATTAAATGTGCAGTCTGTGATGAAACACCGATAGTTAGATGTTCTTGGTGTAAAAAAGCATTTTGTTTAAAACATTTTTTTCATGAATATCACTTTTGTGACAAATATGAACCGTAAAGTCTTCGATAATATATGTATTCTCCGAAAACCGAGGCAATCGGAAGCTTAAAGAGCGGGCGTGCGCACAGGATATAAATAATAAAAAACTGCGAGACTAAGGAGGCAATTTCAAAAATAAATATACCAATGGATTTGGAATTAAGTGCTCGTCATTTTATGTCATTACGCAAATTTCAATAAGTTGTAAAATAAAGTTATAACAAATTTTTTTGTTATAAACAAATTGTATTTTGGACAATTTGTTAACACTAGTTTATTGTACATAAAAAACCATGAAAGCCACCAATTGAACGTTTTTATGTATCTCCTCTGATTTTCGAGATAGTACTTCCGGGTCGAAACTTTGAGGGGTGGTTTCACCCCCTAAATATGAAAACGAGCCGCTATAAAAAAATACGTATCTCTTAGTTTTCGGTCCTCTAAAACATATCCGAAAACCAAAGCAATCGGAGGCGGACACCTAAAATACACTTGTACGTAGAGGTGGTGTTAGGGAAGATAGTTTTATTGACCATATGTGTGAATTTCTGTGGCGCTATGAGGTGAAGAAAAGTAGAAAAGATCCATTTTTACAGTTAGTAGAACACATTAAATATGTATATTTGACAAATTAATAAAATTTTCTTAAAAACCTGATCGAAGCATGTACCTTTGGTCATTGTAATTTCTGTCACCTAAGGGATGTTTTATATCTTATCTTTGTTATTTTTAAGAATTTGGATATCAAGAAAGAGTGGTCGGAGTAGATTGGGGCTAGTTCAGTTGGCGGGGAGAGGGTTTAGGGGAGGGGCTGCCGCCTGATTTCGCAGAAAAAAGATCCAGCTATTGAAGATGTCTCGGCGTTAAAGGATGAACTCTTTAACGCACGCTTTTTTTCTTTTTTAAATCATCAAACAAAATCACTCTTTTCATCCGCAGAATCTTTATTTGAACATATTTTTCTACAATACTTACATATGTAAGGGAAAAAATATAGAGTATGTAATCAAAAATATTGATTTTGTTGCACGTTTTATACGTAAAATGTAATTATTACTAACGCAGTGTGGTGGTTTTAGCTTATTTTATGAATTCGCGTTATGTTACAAAAGCAATATATTCTGTATAGAACACACAACAAATGCCTCTGCAAGAATGCACTTACATTAACGTCTTCTTAGTTATACGACTACTAAAAAAAAATATCACGGACATGACGCGACAAGAAAGAACTGACTGCATATTTATATATATTTTTAGTTCAAATGCATAGGCGTAACTTTTACATTGTTCTGTGTCAGCACCACAGTGAATAGAACTGATTGTTGAAATAACAACAATCATAAATAAAACAAACTTTTGAAAAGCCGCTTTTTCGACGCTTATATTTACCGATAAGTGTATGTAAATATCCACAATATTTTAGGCTTACAAAAATTTAGAAAAATTATTCAAAATTACGTTAAATTATACAAATACCAAAATAATAATTCTTTTATGCAATCATGTCTTTCTTGAAGTTACTTTTCATTGTCTGTGTTTATTCGAACATGTACGTTATGGTAACACAAATTGCAACACTGCCCCAGTTAACTCGAGTCTGCGCGTTAAAGGTTTAAGGCCCATTTAAGTCCCATTTAAGGCCCATTTATATATAACCGGGCCGTGTCCGTTCAGAGTGATCGGGCTTTGTCGACGCCACAGATGGTGGCGGACACCGCACGGATATGTATAAACTGTTACAAATGAAAATACCGTAACCAATTCGAGCACGGATCGGACATGGAACGGAAACGGAACGGTTGTGTATAAATGGACCTTTACTCCTTAAAACGTTAACGAAATTCTCATAAATATCTCAATCATCAAATATCTATTCAATCGAACCAACTAATAATTGTAGCCGGACTTGGAAGATTAAACTTTAGAATGTCGCGCATTCTACTGTACAAGGAGGGCGAAGTGGAATGCATTGTCGAACATAGTCTGCGTTCTTCCGTCGTATAATTAGAACTCTCATTCGATGGAAATAGTTGCATTGAAATAAAAGTAAAGACAAAACCGTGGACTCTACGCGCGATTGCTTTCTTCAAGTATGAATCACTGATTTCGCCAGAAGCAAGTTTTTCGTTTATTTTGTTTAATGCCTCACACTTTGCCCGTAACTGCGAGCGAAGAACATTGGACGTATTCTTCTCTCGCTGTAATTTCTCTTCGAGTTTCTGTCGTTCTGTTTGGTCTCTTATCGCAGAAAAGTCAATTTCATCTTCAGAAGAACTACCTGTATGTACGTCCCACAAATACGGAATTGCATCTTTCCGTAACCTTCCTGACCTGAAGAAGCTCCTTTTCGAAAAATGACGGCTACATATATATTTCCTCTTTAATTCACTGTTTGGCATTTCCGCCCAATCATCTAACCCACAATTTACTAACCACGTTATACATCGTTCACTATCGTTAACGGGAAAAGAATGAAAGCCATTACCATCAAAACATATTCGGTTGTTAACATTACAATTACGATATGAACACTTTCTGTAATGTAGTCTGCTATCTCTGCGATGCTCCATTACATTAAATGACATTTAAAATGCTTCTCAATGTACTCTGTTAATAAATTTAAAGGTACGTTACTGCATAAAACTCATACCTTATCAAAAACGAGAGAACGCTCGAAACAGTTCGCGATATTTATTCTAAACTTTTGCACAACAAATACCAGACATGACACGCGTACGCACAAATATCTGTACATATACAACTACAGGCTTCGTCAGAAATATTTCATTCGAAACAGAGTCACAAATAAAGCTAAATTTATGGGCTACATGCTTTTATAAATTCCAAAATATAGTTGTACGTGGAGTAAGAAATAGTATAATTAGGTAATTGTTTTTATAATTACAGAGCACACAATTTGATACTTCTGACAAAATAGAGGTCCAAGTTTGGGAAACGTCGCTAGGCGGTTAAGTACCAATGACCGCGATCCTTTGTCAAGAGCGCAGATGGCGGGGCGGCAGCGTAGTGGGTTGCCAACTTTATTGCTATAATGAACACGTATATGTAATATCATGTAAATATAAGCAAAATATTTTATTTTTCTATTGTTAACCCCTTAACGCTGGTGGCGTAACGAAACATTAGTTGTCCGTAGCCTATACGCAGTTAGAATTTTTCTAACAATTGAAAATTATTCAGTAATTAATGTGGAGGCTTTCGGATGTAGGACGTGTCCTGGAGAAATTATTTTGCTAACGTTTCGCAAGCATTGCAGCTGACTTCATCAGAAGGTCGAATGACACACTGATACTGGCGTGTGCCTTGTGGTGCTCCACTAATGTACTGAAGCTTGCTCATGTTGTGGTTCATTGTTTACCAATCAAAAGACATGTTTAATAGATCAGCTGAACAATTAAAAAAAACTAGAAGGAAGGAGCTCAAGATTGGATTCAAGTGATAATGAAACACCCTAACAACATCAACAGGGACACAGGCCACAACCTCTGTGACCAACCGACGCTGAAAGTGAAAGGAGGTGGTACCTCCAGTACCACCCCCTAGGCCTCGTGAACACGTGTTACACCGGAAAGCCTCAACTCTCTGAGATGAGAATTATTACTGCTATAATTTTAATTTTTTCATATAATTATTTATTAATATGTTTATATTATGTTAACGCTTACTTAATTAAAAAAAACACAAAATGACAACAAAATGCAATATATATATACTTTAAACATAAACTGTAAACATAAAATATTAGAAATTAACTTGTGTGCGGTACGCTTGAAAATGCTCGTCTAAGCACAAACAGACACGACGCCAGCGACATGTGAAAAAAGCGGCGTCCGTATGTTGGTACGCATACCAGTGTTGAGGGGTTAATACAGCTGTTTAATAGTGACAATGAACGCATACACATACATGTTATCGAATAAAATTTTCATATCATACTTCATTTAAGAGATCCTTAACTGAACATTTTGTTTATTATTTAATTACTCGCAAGAAATAAAATTATATGTAACAATTTCCCAATTGCCAGAAGGTAATTTTCTGTGCCTACTAAGATTCTTCTATCACGTTATTAGGGTAACAAAGATATAAGAACGAATCAAAAGGGATCATGCAAAAAGTAGCATTACTAAAATGTGCATTAATGATGTACGTAGAAGTTAAGTGGAAGAATACATACTATCGCGCGACATGTCTTATGAGTATTATACTCATCCTTTAAACTGAAGCATCGCTTTATTTTCGCGCTAAATCATGTTACTAGCACAGACGAGATATATGAATAGACCCGTCACCTTACGAGACTTCGTGGCCTTAGGAATCTGTAGTCATTAGACAATGGCGTAGTCATTAGACAAATACGCACCCTCTCATTGTCACTAACATTGTAAGTAGACGCTGAGTATAGACCATGGACCTAACGGACAGAGCCTAGTTCTGCGGGAGCACGCCAAAAGACGGAAGGGGTATCATCCTCTAAATGACTTTCAGCCATCTTGTCATACCAAAGCAGTAGTGCACTCTACAGCCGGGTTCAAGAATTAAAAGTGGCGTGCTTGGAGTTAAGAGACCAGCCAAGCGTCCAAATGACGCAATATGTTTCACATATTTCAACGTATCAATTTAGTCAAGATCATCTAGAGTTATTCTTCTGTTGCGTGAAAAACATGAGTAGAAGCAACAACAATCCCACAGCGCGTCAATTTAAAGCAGCATTCAAAAACTTGTTATTATGTACTCAAGTGAAAAGTTTAGACACGGGAAATTGTACTGCAGTACATAACGTACCAATTTTGTATTACTCTTGTGCAACTTCGGCAGAAGTAATTAATTTGTCTGCGGAACAAACTATATTTGACAAAAATGTACAAGAATTTAATAACAATTCAATGAATTTGAAGAAGCAAATGAACTGCTACTACAAAATGATTCATTGTCTAGCGTGGAGGGAATACAATCGCATTCTGAATTCAAGGACTGAGTTATTGTGTACATAGGTGAGTGGGTTGTCAAAAAATGAAAACAAATTATACGCTGTACAATATGTATAGACGTTTTAGAGGAAGATAACCCTTCGGAACTACACAATTTAATATCTATAAACTGTTATATCATGTAGTTTCACAACCTCTTTCCGTTGCACATTGTTCTTTTACTTAATTAATTGCACATTTCATTTCTTCGAAACCATAACAAGAAATGTTGACAGTCAGCGCAACCACTGACCCACTCGCGATTACCGAGAATCAACAGATTGGAAATACTTAATTGACAACATTCTACCAGTCAGAAAACCTAAAGAAATCCTTACGATTTCATACAGTCACTGGGGTAATATAAACTCTCGGAAAAAGGACACACGGCTGTCTCTTCTTATTTCGGCAGTCGTGTTTGACGGTGCTTCGTCTTATCATTATACGCGGCGGCGAGCCAAATGACAACGGTCACTCAGCTCTACGGTTTCTGGTTTCCGCGACGTTTTCCTATCTTCGGCGACGCGACCTCGTGAATACGTGCGGCCTAACAGGCGAGTCTTCTAAGACACTGGACCGCGAAGTGTAACGTCCGAGACGGCGGCCATTATGTGTCATGTTACCCCGCATTGCTCACGTGTTCTGTCCACGATCCTCCTAGGACTGAGAATTCACCTTCGTCTAGACACCAATGCATCCCCCGCGGAATTCGTTTACGGAACCACTCTCCGAGTACCGGGCGAACTCGTGTTGCTAGAGGACTTCTCACCTAACCCGCAGGTCTTCGTCGAAGAATTTCGACAGTACATGCGGGAAGTAAAGCCTGTTCCCGTGGAACACCACCACAAAAAAAAAAGACTTTCTTCTTCAAAAACCTACACTCTTGATCACACATCTTCCAGCGCGTCGGTAGTATCAAGAAGTCCCTCGGGTGTCTGTATACCGGTTCACATAGGATGATGAGGCGCATCTCAGACAAGGTGTTTGAAGTGGACATTAATGGCACGCCACGCGAGGTGTCCATCGAAAACTTAAGCCGCCATTTTTCATACCAGGTAGCTCCCGGAGCTGCGTGTATATCCAAAAAAAAGACAAAAACTGTATTTTTCACGTCTAATGTCAAGTAATTTTTTGTAAGGCAACCCAAGCCAAAAGGCATTCTGATTTTTGTCTACTACTTAGTAGTTTGTAAGCACTATTGTATTTTTATACTCGTTATAGTATTTTCTTTATTGTAGTGTTATATTATCTATTATACTTCTATTTTTCGTTAACACTCGGGGGGGGGGGAGTACTGTGGTGATTAGCCCTAAGAGCAATCACAACGCCAGCGTTTCTTTGTACCGCTTACCCTGCGAGGAGAAAAAATGTTGCCTGCAGATGTTACAAGATTTCCAAGATAAAATTTCGCTAAAAACACGCTTTTTCGCTTTTTTCAACATGTTAATAATTTGTTAATAACTTTGAAGCCAGCAAAAAGATGCAAAGTACCGTACGGTATAACAGTGACATCATTGAATTTTATAAATAATGCAACATTAATGATTGCCGAGAAATACTAGCAGAATCGTGGTCAGAAGTATAACTCCGGAACATATAAAAAAATGCGTGGAAAAACATTATTACGGGACCCACATTAGAATATCCAAATAACGAAGAAACGGATTTGAAAGAAGAAGAGTTGCTTCAACAAGTGCAAGATGCAATGAATATAATCACAAGAAATGAAACCACGGAAGAAAAAATCAGAGAATTTCTTTCAACTTGCGAAGAAACGGAAAGCAGAAACATAATCCAGACAGAAGATGTCCAACAAAAAGAATGAGAAGAAGGTACAAATGACGACAATGAAGGCCAAGATAACAAACAAGAAGAAACAGTTTATCGAGGTGAGCGTAATGACAATACAGAATACAGAAGAAGAAGGGAAATATTTATTTACACGTTTGCAGTACTACAGTTCATTAGACCACCTGGGCCAACTAAAATACTCGTTGGATTAAAAGACTTGTACAATGTAGTCAACACAAGAACACATACAAAGTGGGGACAATAGCAGAAGGACTTGGAAAATACGTACATAGCAAAGGAAATTAGGACCCTCGAAAACTGCAACAAGTGTATTTAAAATTACTCAAAATTAGTACTTATACGTTGGAAAATTTAGGATATTACAATAGTGCAGTAGATGATGTTGAAATAAATATATCACAACGTTGTATGTTTTCAAGAATGAAAAATTAGACGATATTGTTTATCAAGCTATTTGAAGAAAACCGTTCGCTTTAAAAATATCTACATATACAGTATGTCCTGTTTAAATGAGAACAGTTAATATTTCGTACTTCAAAAATTCACATCTAAAATCATTGACATTCAAAGTCAGTTTACAAAATTCATTTCTTTTCCCTGTTACCTTTTACACAACTTGTGTTGTTCACAATGTAGATTGATGAAATACATTATCAACGAGAAAAACCTTTTGTCGGTCAAAATTATTTGCATTTAGTGCCTTATAGCTTAATTAATAAGATTTCATAGCACTTAAATAGCTACTTTTAGTTCGTTTGTATAAAAATCAGGGAAAATGAAAGTTTCATCTAAATTTTTTTAATTTAACCAATTATTTCTTACATTTTCCTTATATAAACAAAGTCGGAAGAAAGAAAAATTATTTTATTAGATTATGAAGAATTAGGGAAAATTTATACCATTATTAGATAATTAACTAAACAAATTTCTATTGATTGTATAATTATCTGCTACAAGGCATACAATAGCGGTCATAACTTTCGGGCGATCAGTGTCTATTTCGATTACATACGTCTAATACAATTGCTATCTTTTCATTGTGTTTGTTTTTTTTATATAATACACATGTATGTGTGACTTTCGCGCTCTCGAAGTTCGGTTGCCAAATGTAAACAAAACACAAGTTTCTCAGCACTTGCTTCTCCTGAGCCACTAAGAGCAGCGGACATTAGTTTAAGACGATCGGTCGAACACAGAATATCTCACAGATTCGTTTGTCAGTTAGGTGCAGAAATATTAGAACC